GGTCGTGGAGCTTGAAGCTCGAAGCTCGAAGCTCGCTGCTGTTGCTGTTTGGGTTTGTGTTTGTGTTTGTGTTGGTTTTGTGGAGCTGTTGTTGTTTTGGCCTGTTACGCTGTGGCCGATTTTGTTTTTGTTTTTAGGCTTGTGCTTTTTTTGTTTTTGATTTTTTGGCAATCCAATGCGAATTGCCCTGCTAAAATAACAACAAAGTCGCGCAGGATTTTCATGTGCGCGCCACACGCTCAGCTTCCATTGTGTGCGTAAGTGTGTGAGTGTGCGTGAGTATGCGTGAGTGTGCGTGTGCGTGTGGAAAGAATGCGTATAGCAAGCAAAAAAAAAAAAAAAAAAAAAAACAACTAAAAACTAAATTAAATCGACACGCAGCAGCAGCAGCAGGAGCAGCAGCAGCGCCAATCAACCAATCAACCAGCTCGCTCAGCTAGCAGCAAGAAAAACACCAAAACACGTAGTCCAAGTTTAAATTGTATTAAAATTTATAAAATTGATATTGATGCAAAGCAAAAGTAAATAAATGCGAGAGCCAACGCGACGTGGGCGTCGAGCTCGCCGTGCGAACGCCTGAAAGCATGCTAAATGAAAAGGGAAAACGTAAAAAGAAGAAGCAGCAACAGCAGCAATAGTAGCAGCAGCTTAACAAACATTTTTATTAAAAAAAAAAAAAAAAAATCAACAAAAACAATAACAAGTGCTCAAAGGCGTTTCCCTAGCTGTCGCTGTCGATGTGTGTGTGCGTGTGTGTGTGTGTGTGGCTTAACAAATTTTGCAGTGCTGCGTATCAATTTGATTTGTATTTCTAATTAATAATTCACTACAATTTCAATGTAAAGGCGATATATATAGAGTATATAGTATACATTCCGTATATATGCCAGCTGCAAAGCTGCGCAGCTCGCAGAACTTTCAGCTGCTGCTGCTGCACCAAGTTCCAAATTGAGCTGATAAAATGCAGTGCGCGGCAGCCGTTTGTATTTGTGGTAAGTGTCTCAGCTAATCCCGCAAATGTGCCCAATTTAATAATAAAAGCCTTGGGCAAGTCTGTGCGTGTGCGTGCGTGTGTGTGTGTGTCGTGTGGCCACTAACAGGTGTTTGTATGCAAGCGCATTTGTCCACACAAATCAAATGGAATGAGCAAATCAAACAGATTTAACTATTTATTTAGTTTTATTTCATTTATTTATTCTTCGGCTGTCAATTTGAATGATTAGCTGAAAGCTTTAGATGAGTGAATACAATTTCAATTTCAATCTCGATTTCATTCAGAAACAAGTTGATAATTGGTGAATTCAAACTTACAAATTTATTAAGAAAATATAATTTATGGCAAATGATCGTGGATCATACACATACATATGCAGTTGGGCTCAGCAAAATAATAGTAATACCCTGAATATAAGGCAAGCTCTACACTCACCCCAAAAAACTTGGATCCCTCTGCCTTATATAGTTACTTAGCTTTAACAAGTGGAAATGTCACTTTTGATTATAAACTTGCCCAACATCAAGGTCAAAAACTGTGAAATGACATTTGGTGTATGTGTGTCGCTGTCGCTGCGTGTGCGTGTGTGTGTGTGGAGATTTTGCAGATGTCAAATGTTCAAACTGTATGCACATCAATTGCAATTATGCTTAGGCAGCACATCAAATATCAAAGTTCAACAGAATCCGAACTGAGAGAACGCGACAGAGAGAGAGAGAGACCGAGAGAGCGAAGAAGAGCGAGAGCGCGACAGATAAACTGATAAATCACAAGGAAGCTGCAAAATGTTAAATGTCATTTGTTACGAGCCAATGCGTCCCATATTCATATGCCATAGCCGCAAACATAGTTTGTTTTTGTTTCTCAGCTCGATGTCCGTTGATATGTTGGGCCATGTTGCAAAGTTTGTCCCGGCATACAGGCACATCTATGTATGTATGCGTGCGTGTCTGTGGCAGCGGCGTGTAGGCGTAATTAAAACGCACACAGGCGCACGCAAACAGAGCGGCACAGATAGAGACACCTACGCACCACCTGTGCAACAGTAAACATACGTAAATGCCGGCCGCAAAGGTCAAAGTGCGTGCGGCAGGCACATTCAATTGTCTCTGCTGCTGCTCAAGTACATACATACATGCATACATACATACATACACATGTGCATGTGCATACATACATACATAGTCAACGACTATTCTGCAAATACGAATGCATGCATATATCCTACGCTAACGCTGCTCCATCTCGGTGTTTTTTGGCAGGCCGATGCCAGTTTGGGCATGCATGAGCGCGAATACATTCAGGAGTCGCTCAGCTATGTACTGCGCATCCAGGAAGTGCAGGAACGCATCAAATTCGAGTTTGTCGAAATACTATTGGCATTCATATCTGGCTGGCTGGTATTCTATCACACCGCTCACGAGCAGGCCGAGGACCATCGCGACTATTTGCAGGATCTGAGGCACAAGGTCCAAAAGGTCTGTAGTCATTCGCCTAATCATGTTAATTAACTTGCTTAGCTCATATTATCTTGCATTACCTTTGCCAGACTCGCGAAAATTTTGAGGAAGCTCGCGAAAAGGTCACCGAGCTAAAGACCAAGTACATGGAAAAGCGTACGGTAAATATCATTAAATATACATTCGAATTATAATTATATAGTAAACATAAATCCTTTTTGCATTGCAGAAGTCGGAGGAGATTTTCACCAAACGCGGCTATTTGTTTTTGATGGAAAAGAGTAAGTTTTTCTTGTGTGCGTTGTGTAAAAAAAAAAAAAAAAAAAAAAAAAAAAAACTAAATAAAAACTAATTCCTTTCGCAATGAGGCAGCATGTTAACAAAATCAAATATTATATATAGGATATATACCACTGAAATCATAAATCTTATTCGATATAGAAAGTAACTGCATGTCATGGCTATGGCTACAGTTTAATCAGTCTTACTTTAGCTAGATATCTAGTATTTGTCAACTAAACCTTTCATATATGGATGAGGTGTTCTAACTAAAATAAAGTTTTGAAGGTTTCATTCTATTGGGATTAACTCAATAACTAACTGTACTAGTATAACACAGTTGAGCTCAATGATAATTGTTATCTTGCTTGAAGGTCAAATACTCCAAAATAGCTGCAGACATATAGTGATCTTCCAGCAGAAAGCGATCTTTCATGGAAATTTTACGATCTTACATTATCGGACTATCATTCATATCACTCATAGTCTGAGTAAACAGCAATTCCCTTCATATAAATCATGAAGCCAAGGAGATATCAATGCCTATGCAGATCCTAACTAACAGATGGAGTATATTATTAATAAACAACATGCATCCATATTCTAATGGATAAAGGCTTTAAGTTAACAACCTCAGAGTATAGCATCTTCATAACCTAATTCCTAGAGAGTTTGGCTCTTCTTTTATCGAACTAATTGTCAAACTTTAACTAAGATTACATTTAACAGCATTAAACTAAGTTTGACAAATAGTTCCGTAGAAGATCAGTCAAACTTCAGTCAAATATTTGCTGGGGGCTGTCAAATCGCTTGCAATACACTATGTACAGGGTAACTAGCCGTGTGTCATCTGTAATGTTAATGTTAATGTTAAATGTTGTCTCTTGCCTGTTGCTTAACCTGAAGTCTAACGATAAATGTTTTGCTTTCTCATTCGTCAACCACCCACAAAACATCTTATCTGAAAACTGCTGTCTTCTTCTTCTTCTTCTTCTTCTTCTCCTTCTTCTGCTTTCTCGTCATTTTGCACTAACTTCTTGTGATACATTTTATATGGGTCTTCTCTCTTATTGTGTGTATTTTTGAATTCTATTTATTTTCTATCCAATCAAAAACACCACAAAATTCTAATCCGTGTGCTTTTGGTATCAACTGCAACTTCGACTCTGCAACCAACAACAAAACAAAAACAAACAAAAAACAAATACAAACAACTAAAAACTAAAAAACTATAAACAAAACAACCCAACCAATACCCACTCAACCACAACCACCAACCACCAACCACCAACACTGATCTCGACTGCCTGTCAACCGCAATTTGCAAACTGCAAACGATTCTTAGGTTCCCTTCTGAAAATCTCACTTTTAGAGCCTTTCAAAGCAACATGGACGAAATACTATTGCACATTCAAGAAGCAGAAGCGCGAATTCACAATGCTCCAGTTCAATCAGATGAACCACAGCTTTACGCGTCCCGAGGCGCGTGAGGACGAGAAGCTGACCCTGTTCTCGTGCCAGCGTCGGGCGTCGGAGTTTGAGAAGCGTTTCTGCTTCGATCTAACATTCAAGGAGAGGCCGGGCATTGTCTACACATTTCAGGCGCTGAGCGAGAAGGATCATCGCTCCTGGCTGAGCGCCATGGATGGCACGGAGCCGGTATGTAGCCCAACCAAAATGCTCGCTCATCCAGAAATAATCGAATTCATTGTCTCTTTCTCGCAGACTTATCTGGTGCCCGGTAAAATGAAAGCCACTGAGGCCTATCAACTGGATGAGACCGGCTTCATGTTTGTACGCCGATGTATACAAATTCTGGAGGGCCGCGGTCTGGAGGACGAGGGCATCTATCGGAAGAGCGGCGTCGGCACCAAAATCAACAAGCTGCTCTCGCTCGGCATGGAGCGCAAGGAAAACGAGGATGTCTTCACCGATGACAAGTATCGCGATCTCATGGAGAGCAACACCATTGCCAGCGCCCTCAAGATGTATCTGCGCAATCTGAACGAGCCCCTCATGACCTATCACTATCACAGCGGCTTCATCGAGGCAGCCAGTAAGAGATCAAATATATACGAGTAGCACTATCAAAAACTGTTAACCAACTCATCACCTCACTCTCTCTCTCCCTCTCTCTCTCTCTGCAGAGAAAGAGAGCCTCAATCAGCGCGTCAACGAGGTTCACAAATTGGTCTACAAGCTGCCGCAGCCAAACTTTGAAATGCTGGACATGGTCATCAGGCATTTAACAGAGTGAGTAGCTGAACAAGAATATATCTCAAATGATCATCACCATCATCATCATCATCATCATCATCATCATCATTTGCTTCACTTGCAGAGTCTCGCGCAAATACGAGAAGAACAAAATGTCTGTATTCAACTTGGGCGTTGTCTTTGGGCCAACTCTGCTGCGTCCGCTGGAGGAGACGGTCGCCGCCATTTTGGACATCAAGTTCAACAATATTGTCATCAACATACTCATCGAAAACTATGAGCGCATCTTCAAGAACGATCCAAGCACTGGCGTAGCCACAGCTGTCAATGCCGCTGTCTCAGCAGCCAATCTGCATCCGAGCAGCAGCAGTCCGCCGACGAGAATGCCGCGTGCCTCACAGGTGGGCAAGGCCGCATCGACAGGTGGTGGTGGCGGTGGCGGGAGTGTGGGACGCAGCTCGCTGTATTCGCCGGAGCAAAAGGTGTACCGTGTGCTGGCCAAATCCAATTATCCAGATCCCACAATGTCGTCCAGCTTGCAGAATATTCCAAATGGCATGATCTACGCCCATGGGCCGGCCAGTGCGAGCAACAGCACACCGCCCGGCGGCGTCACCAGCAGCGGCAGCAGCAGCAACACAAATGGCGGCGGCGGCGGCGGCGGCGGTGGCTCTTCGTTGACGGTGGTGTCGGCGCATGCGACAAACGGTGCACGGCCCGCCCAAATGGGCAGCATGAAGAACCTGCACGCCATGACGCAAAGCGAGCTCGGCGGCCGTCGCAGCGGCTCCTCGGGCACGGATGCAGCGGCCGCCGTCTATGGCATATTGGGCGGCGGCGGTGGACCCAGCACAAATGGTGGGGCAGCGCTGCAGGCGCATCATGCGACGCCGGCCACGGCCAGCAGCAATCTGCGGCATGCCGACTATCTAATGGCCACGGCCACACCGGTGCCCCAGTCGGCGTCCAGCAGTCACATCTATACGAACGCCAGCAGCAATCGTCTCAGCCTAAACGATGTCTCCCCGCCCACGGCCACAATGCGCAAGGAGCGCCACCTGCAGACCTCTGGTAGCAGCAGCGCCGTCATTGGCAGCGGACCACAGCAGCATCCGCCGGTGCAGCGCAGTCACTTTGCCTACAGCCAGGCCAAGCACTATTCACCGGTGGCAGCCGCCTCCACATCCAGCTCCAATGAGAGCGTCTGCGACTCGCTCTCCTCCAACAATGGCCTGATTGGAGTCGGCGTGGGTGGTGGCAGTGGAGGCGCTGCCCTCATTACTGGCGGCGGCGGCAGCAGCGCCAATGTGACGCGTTTGCTGAACGCACGCAGCTCGATCGACTATCCGCCAATCACATCGCAGACATCGTCACTGTCCACACTGCTTGGCAGCACCTGTGATGACATTGTTACGGCCACCGCGGCGCCATCCATGATCGGGGGCAGCGGCATGGGCAGCCTCACCGGCCCCGGCAACGGTAGCGGCTCGACCAACGAGAGCGCCGACTATGCGCCAACCAAAATGCATCGCAATCGTGACATCAACCAAATCAAGCGGGATCTATCCGCGGGCACAGCGTAAGTTACTCCAATATCATCTATCATAAACAATATCTTATTATTTATATCCCATTGCAGACGCGTGCGTACTCTGTATGCCTGCATGGGTGAGAGCGAGGGCGAACTATCCTTTGAGCCAAATCAGATTATAACAAATGGTAAGTTTCAGATCTCAGATCAGATCGGATTGGAATCCTGGACTATAGTTTGAATCATTTGCAGTGCGATTCTCCCATGAGCCTGGCTGGCTGCAAGGCACGCTGAATGGCAAGACGGGTCTGATACCAGAGAACTATGTGGAGCATCTGAAGCCATACCACTAGAGTTTGCATTCTGCAGCATTCTGCCCCTCCTCCTCATCCAACCCGCTCCAGCTGCTTCGTTCCAGAACTGTGTCTAGCCTAGTGTAGTGTAAGCCGCATTAGCCCAAGTCTCTGTCATGTTAGAGCGCCAACCAAAATCGCAACTGTAATATTGTATAAAAACTGAGAGGGAGATAGAGAGAGAGCGAGAGAGAGAGAATGAGATGGAGCGAGTGAGCGAGCGTGAGAGGGAAATGCCACAGTGCGACGCAAATATAACTAATGCTTAAATGGTTATAGTTATACATGTATGTATATGCATATATATATA